TCAATGCTTCTAACACAGTATTTTAATACCTCATCTTCAAATAAGAGAGACAAGCAAGAGTCATCAAATATCTGATGAAAGACTCTCATATTAAAAAAAAAGGACCAAAATAACCAAAGGTGGATAGGGGAGAACAAAGAATATGTAAGAATAATCTCAAAAACATTAAAATAAATTACTTAGAAATCTAGATGATCTGAAAAAGAAATAGATGTTTTAAGTGATAAAAATAAAGGGAAAAACATTCAGAGAACCAAACACTTAGACATTTTAAACACAGTATCATAAATACTCAATAAAAAAAGGCTGAAGGATAAACAGAAAGAAATCTAACATGAACAAAAGACCAAGAAAGTTCAAGGCCAGCCTGAGCTACACGGAAATCCTGTCTCAAAAACAAAAAATAAATAACAACCAAAAAAAAAAAAAAAAAAAACGATGTAAATATGGGAAGGAAATAGAACAAAAGACCAGAAAGTCCAACATCTAAATAAAAGCAGTTGCAGTTCTTAGAAATGGGAGAAGAAAGCCAGGCACCAATGGCTCACACCTATAATCCTACCTACCCGAGAGGCTGAGATCTGAGGATCATGGTTAGCCAGCCAGGGCAGAAAAGTCCATAAGACTCTTATCTCCAATAAACCACCAGAAAACTGGAAGTGGCACTGTGGCTCAAGTGGTAGAGCACAGCTCCCAGGCCAAGTTCAAGCCCCATCACTAACAAAAAAGAAGAAAAAGGAGGAGGAAGGAAGGGAAAGGAGGAGGAAGGAGGAGGAGGAGGAGGAAATGAAATTCTGTAACTCAAGCCACAATGTCTGCAGAATGACTAGTTGGATCTTCTGTCTTCATGACCCAAGACGGCAGACAGCTCCGGGGTGAACTCTGCAGCCACCGTGGGTGCTGTGAGAGGTGAAGGCCGTATATATTTATTTACTTTCTAACTGTGGCCAGTGGCCCAAGGCTGGTGTTATGTTCATTGTATTCAGTAAGTACCAAAGACCTGTTTGCACTTTGTAATGACACCTTTCAGTTCAAATAAAAGGGCCACATTTCAAGTGGAAAAAAAGAAAAAAAAATTGGGAGAAGAGAGAAATTTAGATAAATCAGCAGAACAGTTGAAAAACAAAGTCCCCAAACTAAAGGTCCAAACAATGAATCATAAAATGTTCACATACCGTTAACTAAAGCTGCATTGTTGTGAAATGTTAGAATATTAGAATCAAAAAGTCTCAGCTAAACCCTTGTAGGAAGACAAGAAAAATCAAAAGAGAGGGAGAAGAGAGGAACAGAAAATGAGGGAAGGAAAGAAAAGAGCAGCCACACCCTAGGAGCTACATAACAAAGAAACAGCTTAACGGTTCTGATAGAAAACGACTTTCAAAAGAAAATTCTATGCACAGCCAAATTATAGACCAAATTTAAGTAGAAAACAGCTATGGGTCTCAGAAAATTTACCTTGCAGGCACTTTAGCCATGAAGTTAGAGAAAATGTGTGCAACCAAAATAAAGCAGGTAAGTCTTAAAGTAAAGGCGTAGAATCCAGCAAGTATAACTCCAACCGGAAAGCAATGCAAAGAAGCCGTCCCTCCTAATAAGAATGAATTCCAAAGATGACAGATAGCTTTTTAATAGGAAAAAAAAAGAAGGAACCAGTCAAGATTGGTGCAGGACACAAGGCTCCAATAAAGTACGATAGAAGGTAAGATTAAGTAGACTGAAAGACTGTCTGGAGAGGAGATTAACACAACAGAGTTTGAGAGCTGTTAGTAATATATATGTAAATGGTGAAAGTATTAACTCCAAGAGAAACACAACTTATATAGGAAATGAAAGTTAACTTTAATATTCCATGTAGCTCTTACACTTAGAAAGTAAACAATGAGTATTAATTTAACAAAATTTATGATATAATCATACTGAAAGGATAGGGAAGAGCACGGGTACACCCATACGGATATATATATTTAAGTAAGAAAGCCAAATCCATTTTCCTTCCATGGTATGAAGGAAAGAGGTTGTGCTTACAAGTAGAAAATGAAGAAACAGCAATATAAACGTTTTTATTCAGATACAAATTAGCCAAATGCTGAAAATGGCTGCTAGCCTTGCCTTCAGGTAAGGAACTTGACCCAGAACATTGATCAGAACATATATCTCTAAGAACATTGCTGACACTGTTGTAAGTTTTAGTCAAGCCTAGATTAAAATTTTATCTCAAGTTCTTCCCATTCAAATAAGACTGGTACACAGGAGGAACCTCCAAACTTGGTGGGTGGGTATTCTAGGTTTTGCCAGCTGAATCTCAGAGTTTTAAACAACCCTAAGTCTGGCACCATCATTTCATCAGGTAAAATCACATACAATACTTAAATAGCCAAGGCTATGCTCCAAAATTTCTTCATGACACTTAAATGGTTTTTTCTCGTTTCTTTTCAATGTTAAATGCACCAACACAAGCAGGAACAGATTTAACCCATGGACCAAGCTTCCTTAAATCTGGGACAGACTATAAGGCCAACTTCATTTAGAAAAACACAAAGCTATCTCTCAGTGTGTCAGGCAGTATGAGTATTTCGCTTACATTCTTTATGATTTGTCCTGTTTTAAATCAAAACAACTAGGCACTAGTGGCTTATGTCTGTCATCCTAGCTACTCAAGAGGCTGAAATCTGAGGATCCCAACTAAAAAAAGCCTGGCAGAAAAGTCTGAGATTCTTATCTCCAATAAACTACCAAAAAGCTCGAAGTGGAGTTGTGGCTCAGCCTTAAGCAAAAAGAAGCTCTGGGACAGCACCCAAGCCCTGAGTTCAAGAGCAGTACTGGAGGGGAAAAAATATATAGGGAGGAATTTTTAAACCTCAAAAAGGTTTTATCTACCCATAAATATATTTTCTGCCAGGCGACGGTGGCTCACGCCTGTTATCCTAGCTACTCGGGAGGCTGAGATCTGAGGATCATGGTTCAAAGCCAGCCCAGGCAGGAAAGTCCGTGAGACTCTCATCTCCAGTAAACCACTAGAAAAACGGAAGTGGCGCTGTGGCTCATGCAGTAGAGTGCTCATCTTGAGCTGAAAAGCGCAGCCAAGCCCAGAGTTCAAGCCCTACGACTGACCAAAAAATACATATATTTTTTTCTCTTTACTCTCTAAGCAGACCTATAAGTACAAATTATGTTTAAAGTTCTACAGGAGATAGGATATTCTTCATAATCCTCAGATGATTTCTAGGGGCAATTTCTTCTACTTTGATATAACAACAAATAAAACTTCATTGCAATGATAATCCTAGCTACTCAGAAGTCTGACACTTGAAGCAATCCAGAAAAGTTCACGAGACTACTCCAACTAACCATCAAAAAGCTAGGATGGAGGTGTGACACAAGTGGTAGAGCAAAAAAACAAGAGAACAGAGGCTTGAATCCAATTCAAGTCCCAGAACCAGCCTCCAACAAAAAAAAAAAAAAAAAAAAAAATGGGATCTTGGATTTTTTTAAAAAGGGAAACAATGCTGTTATAGCCCCCTCTTCCTTTTCTTGTTGTAAAAAAGGCATATTTAAGACAAATACAAGTTGAAGACAGTGGTATACACATGTCATCCCAATACTTGGGAGGCTCAGGCAGTAGGATAATAAGTTCAAGGCCACTCTGGGCTATGGGAAGACAATCAATCAATACTAGCTCAATCAGCTAATCTTTAGAATTTTTTTCTTCAATAGCAATGCCATAGTCTACCAGTAGAAAGCCCACAACTCATCTTTCCAATGTTTGTATAAACTCAGTTTCAGTGGAGGAAGATTAGTGAAACCACAGAAACTCATCCACATCACTAACACCATAGACCTTCAAAGTAATGACAATAAACTGAAAGCCTGCTCAATTGGTGAGTGAATGGTCATCCTTTGTGTAGGCCATTCTCACTTACAAGAGTATAGGCAAGAGTTCCAAGTAGACATAGCAGGCTGCAATGACATGAACACTAGTACCTTCCTCAAAGAAAGGAAGGAAGCAAAGGTCCACTCTGGTCTGCCTCTAGATGTGGAAGATGCACAGAAGCATAACCTGCAGGGAGAGTTCCCAACAAGTCTACCATAGGATGATTAACCCCCACCTAACACCTACTAAGGAGGGAAAAAAGCTACTTGAGCACTCTGTGACCTAGTATGACAGACATCATTTAAAAAAAAAGAAAAGAAAAAAAAGACTGGAAAAAAAATTCAGCCAATTCCTCAGAGACTGCAAAAAATTTGCCATTATAAGATAAAGTTTTGGGATTTGTCAGGCGACAGTGCCACCTACTGGCTTTCTATCTTAAAATGGTCATTTAATAGGGACCAAGCCAATATAAATATTTAACCACATTATGGTTACAGACAAAATTTTCAGTGTCTCTTGGCAAAGTATAAATAAGCTAGAAAAAGACACAGAATTTTGGGAAAACTTGAAGAACTTTTCTACTACCAAGCTACCAAAATCTAAGTAAAAACATTTTTATAACCCTTTGATTCAATTAGAACTTCTAATATATTGTTCTAGTTCCCTTCGAAGCAAGCCAACTCAAAACTCATCAAGGAAGAGCTGCTAGAATAAAAATAAACCACCTGAATTTCAAAGCTGAATGAACAGAAACTGGTGTTTGTATATATAGGGAATCTCAAAAACACCATTTGCTAAGCAGATACAAAGAATCCCAATAATATGAGAGCTATATTCACTACTTCAAATCCATGAATGAAGTTATACTAATTTACACTGAAAATGCACTGTTCTTATGGTTTCTCGCTCTGTCTCCCTAGACAGACAGACAGACAGACAGACAGACAGACAGACACACACACACACACACACACACACACACACACACACACACACACACACACACAAAGAAACAAAGGCTGGCCAGAAATTATTCAAGAGCTACAGCATTTCTAACTGCTCAAACCTATATATTATCACTTGCCTGGCAATGTCCACTCTGTATATCAACATGTTGACAATGACTCACCTTGGCAACAAACTGCTTGTCTTTTTGGTCCAAATTAGCAGTAGGAGCTACATAGTCTCTCCATATTCTCAGCCTGCGCTCCTTGGCAAACCTGGCAACAAAGCAAGATGCAAGATCATTCGGACAGCTTAAGCCCACTGCATTTGAATTTACCACCATTATGGGAGCAGTAAGTGCAGAATGCTACTCTGTATATATCCACAGTGACTAACAGTTCAAATCAAAAAAGAATGACAGGAAAGGAAAAATATTTTTTAAAAATCCAAAAACATGTATAGCAAATGGAAAAATCCAAGATGCAGGTATGCTACAAACTCAAGGTTGGTAGACTGGATAGGACAGAAAAATCCAAGACAAGTTGTATACTACAAACTCGAGGCTAGGAGAGGGGGTGAGATGTAGGTTTGCAATTGTTTGAACATATACAGCACAAGTCTATCTATATAATTAACTAACTTACCCAGTATCTTCTACAACAATGTAGGCTGACATACAAAGCAACTACTTTCTTAAGTGAGAAGAATGAACATATATAAACAAACATGTTTTAAGAATTACAAGTTTATCCAATTGCCATCTCAATTATATAAAAAGTGCATCTAAAGATGCATCATGAGGGGCTGAGAAGGTGGTTTAGTAGTAATAGAGTGCTTGCCTTGCATGCATGAGGCCCTGGGTTTGATTCCTCAGCTCCACATAAGCAGAAAAGGCCAGAATTGGCACTATGGCTCAAGTGGTAGAGCGCTAGCCTTGAACTGAAGAGCTGAGGGACATGGACCAGGCCCAGAGTTCAGGCCCCATGACCAAAAAAAAAAAAAAAAAGATGCATCATGAGCCAGATGCCGTGATTAAAGCTTCTAATCTTAGCTACATGAGAGGCAGAGATTAGATCTTAATTTAAGGCCATTTGAGGCATAAGTTTACAGGACACTATCTCAAGCAATGGCTGAGCACAATGATAATATGCCTGTCATCTCAGCCACAAAGGAAGCACAAGTAGGATTGCAGTCTAGATTTAAAGTGAGACTCTCCCACTTTAAAAATAACTAACATAAAAGGGGCTAGATACATGGCTCAAGCGGTAGAGCACTTATGAGGCAAATGCAAAGCCCTGAGTTCAATCCCCAGCAACCTGCATGTGCACACACACACATACACACACACAGAATTGAAAAATGAAGAAAAATCTCTATAGAAGTTCATTAATAAGCATTTAGAAAAACATGCCACCAGAAGCTCTTTTGTGGTTGTTGTTTTGTTTTGTGCCAGTAGTGGGGCTTGAACTCACAGCTTCATGTTCTCAGTTGGCTTTTCCTACTCAAGTCTATAGCTATCACTTGAGCCATACCTCTACTGCCTAGAAAAATTATTTTTAAAGTACTAAAACAAGTAAATCTTTTTTCTAAGTTAAACTAAGAAACTGAGTATGTGTAAGACCTTAAAAAAAAAAAAGCAGTGAATACCTATTTAAACTATTTACAAGTGGATACATATGCAATAGAAAGGTACTATTTTTGAAAAAGTGCTGCACCTTTATCTTTTGAAAAATGCATTGAAATGGAAAAAAGAAAAAGAATGTAGCAGATGTAAAACACATAAAGTACTTCCATAGAGAGTATGTAATTTTACCAAGAATGGAACTACCTCAAATATAACATTCAAAACAGCAGGCAAGTAATCAAATACTGAATTATGGTCCAAGCCTGCTTTATAATGATGAGTACTCTTCAAAAAAAAAAAAAAAGTCCATAAAAATCTTCTATAGATGTTATAAAACTTGTGGATATCACCTTAATAAGTACTTGCTTTCTTTAAAATGGCAGAATCTTAAAAAATGCAAAAACAAAAATGATCAACCAAAATAATAATTCAGAATAGTAATAGAATGAGAGGGGAGGAAAAGAAGAGGAGGGGAAGGGAAAAGGAGATGGGCTAAGACAAATACACACAGACAATGAACACAACATAATGAGAAGTATTTGGAACAATATACTTGATAAGGCTATTTTTATCTTTCTATTGTAGTTATGGAACAACATAAACTCCTCCCAAAATTTTAAGCAAGCATTGTTTCTTTATCAGACAATACGCATTTTTCAAGCATGCCATATCAGAAGGTCCATATTAAAATCTATTTTCATAAACACTTGCAAATATTTCTGATTACAGATACTGGAGTATGTAAAAAGACTGAAGGAAAGGAATGGAATTTGTAATTAATCAATTTCTATTTTTGCACATTTCTCAGCTGCACTAAATAACATTAAAAAGATAGTTCCAGTTTTTTGTTTTGTTTTGGTTTTTTGTTTTGTTTTGGGTCCGGTCATGGGGCCTGAACTCTGGGCCTGGGCGCTGTCCCTCAGCTCTTCAGCTCAAGGCTAGCGCTCTACCACTTGAGCCACAGCGCCACCACTTGAGCCACAGCGCCACTTCCAGCTTTTTTCTTTTTTGCTTATGTGGTGCTAAGGAATTGAACCCAGGGCCTCATGCATGCAAGGCAAGCGCTTTACCACTGAGCCACCTTCCCAGCCCCAGTTCCAGTTTTAAGATTAACTTCAGATCATCATAGGGTTCTTTAAACCCTGAATGGACCATTGCATTGATTACTGCTTACAACTTGGAAATATTATTTCCTGAGCAGTATTTCCATCCACCTATTTTATTTTCTTTCATCTACCCCATCAAATAGAAGATACTTACCTAAACATCTAGAAAAACTTGGCCTGGATATCCGAATAAGCTACCAAACTTTGCAACTTCCATTCTCACTTTTCTGCAAATAAGTTATTCTACATCTGCTTTCAATCATAAAACACCAAGCTGAAAACATTATAAAAACATCTTAGAACTGTCCTATCACTTATAATTAAAACTCACTTTTACAAATTAGGGCATTAGTCCTACAATGCAGTCTAATCCTCATTTAGAACTTAACAGGCTCTACCATCACAGCCCTGCTCTAGCCTGCCAATCTATTTGAGAGAAGCTCAGGACAGGCAGGTCCAACATCCTGAAATGAGCTTCAAGTTCCATTCCAAATGCCAAAAAAACACACAACTTAGAAACGTGGCCTGAAAGCATTAAAAAGCAAATCAAGTAAAGAATATTGTCTGAATGAAAAACTAAGCACTTACTACCTACCTTGCATTAAATTAAACCAAACCCAAAGGTTAATTTAATTTACATCCTTCCTTTCTAAGACTTCCCAATTCCTGTAGTAAAATAAAATGGACACTGACACAGACAATAGAGAAGATGGCTAAGTTTCTTTCTCTAAGAACCTTAACAAAAGCCTTGGCTGGAAGACTTCCCTGGCAGGCCTTACCTCTCGGCTGCCCTCAGCTTTTCTGCACCCCGGGTATAAACTGCAATGGACCAGTCCACACAGCGTGCGAAGCCTTCCTTCAGGAGGAGCTCAGTGATGTTTCCGTTCTGAGAAACAAGGTGCAAGAGAAGGCAGACGTGAGTTAGATTCTATGACAAGAGAATCCATTTCTCTAGATCTCTGACATACTTTGCCACAATCTACTGGTAGTTCATTAAAAAAAAAAAAGTAGTTTAAGCCAGGGCACTAGTGGTTCACACCTGTAATCCTAGCTAATAAGGAGGCTGAGATCGGAGGATCAAGGTTCAAAGTCAGCCTAAGATGTAATGTTCATAAGACTCTTGTCCCCAATTAACCACCAGCAAACTGGAAGCTTTCGCTCAAGTGGACAAAAGGTATGGGACAGCACTCAGGCCCTGAGTTCCAAACCCAGGACCTGCACCAAAAAAAAAAAAAAAAAGGAAGGGGGAAAAAAAAAAACACCCCTCAGATGGAGACACCATCCTGAGACCCCCTCTGCATAGCCTGGGCTTCATATCCCAACAACTCACAGGAAAGTGCCTTTCAATTAAAAGGAGAATAAATGTTAGTAACACTCTATGGAACTGACATCTCAGTAGCTCTTCTTCCGGCAAAGAAGGATGTTCATCTTTTGGAGAGATTACACTTTATTCTTCCCTTGCCTCATATCAGCACTTCTTCCTCTTTTTTCTAAAGAGAAAGCTAAAGAATGGGCTGAGTAGGGAATTGTGTAAGGCATATTTTGCCCATCCAACTACAATTCATATGCTACTGTGACAGAGCCATCTGGCAGGCCATGACCAGACAGCACTTCCAAAGAAACACACATGACCTTGGCCCACTCCAAACCAAGCGTTCCAACAACTTTACTACTGGAAGAATTATCTAGCCGAAAAAAGTAACCGCAGCTTAAATGTTGGGTTACGAATAGGTTACAGCACTGAAAAGTCACTTAATTGTTACAAAACAGTTATTCCATATCCAAGAAGAATCCATCTAAAAAAAGTATGGGACAGGGTCAATGTACGAATAGTCAGAACTACAAAGACATAAACAGCCTAGTTCCTGCTCAAATCCATGTTAGGACGTAACTACATAGGCAAAATATTTTTTCCATATGTCAGTTTCTTTCTGATTTGTCAATCAATACTCCAGACAGCTGACTTCTAACCCTACAGGAAATATCACTGACCACAGTACATTTATTTCTGCTCCACTTCTACAAGATGTTTCCCTACAAGATGATAGTAAAAAGATTGCCTTTCTACTAGCAATCTCTTGGATTAAGCATGTAGAAAAGTATGTGATGGAGTTCTCCTTCTCCTTATGAACCCAGTAACAACTTCCTAAAGACAAGATCATGCACAAATCTGCCAATTCTGTAAAACAAATGCTATCTCTCCCTAGCATATACCTCAAAATCATTAGATGATAATCATGTCAAGATATCTAAATGGATGTAAGAGAGAAAGAACAGACTTACAAATTGCAACCCTTCAAACTCTTGAGAGCACCCCCTAATCCATTACAACCCAGGCCACACAGTACACTCACTGGATGAAGGATGGTACCCAGAACGTTCTGGTTGTGGCAGCTCTCCAGAATGATTTGAACATCTCTCTGAAGCAATCGAGACTCAGTGAAAAATTTGGCTTCTGCGGCAAAAGGTTCTGGTGTTTCACTGCCATCTGCTTCCCGACGAAAAGTTGGGCACTAAAGGAAAGTAAGGGAAGTTGAGAAAAAAAACCTGATGATGAGACCCAATCACCTGCAGAGAGGGCAAGGCCCTCACCTGCACACCTTCCACAAGCTAAGTTAGGGGAAGGGGGGAGAGGGAGGAAGGATGTTGCATTAGCTCTTCTAACCCTTTGGAAAACATCCTGTTCCTATAGCCTTCTTGTTAAAAGACATATGATTATGTGAAAAAAGTAATTTACCCATTAATGGGTCATGGAAATGACCCATTTCCATGAAAACATTTGCCAGTGCCTAGCTTCTAACCCTAATTTCCTTAAATATAAATATATATAAATAAAAATATATAAATATGAGCCATATCCAGCAACCTGCAGACCCACTCATCTCTCCTGCTCTAGGTTTATATCCTCAACAAACTCCAATTCTAAACAAATTCAATGTACTTAAAAGAAACAAGGAAAGGGGGAGGGGGAGAAGAAGGGATGAAAGGGGAAAGGAAAAGGGGGAAGAGAGAAAGGAAAAAGAATCACACTAGAACTTCTTGTTGCAAAGTTGTAGACAAAATAAATATAAAGTACTGTGGTCAATGGCCCATGGTAGGAAGAAATAGTAGATCCAAGGTCCCCAATTAAAAATGAACAAAGAACCAAAACACTTCCCCAAATCCCATACCCACCACACAGCCCAGTGTACATCTGACCTTGATCCCTGACAGCATGACTGTAACGAGGTGGTAATCTGGGAGGAGCAGGGCTCTGACCACACTGCCATCTCGCACGTGCTCGATAATCGCTGCATGACAGAATACAGTTTTAATCCTAGGGCAAAATCACTTCAAGAATATACAATGCCCAATCAGACTGTATCTAACCCAGTTCCTTTTCCCCAAACCCTAAGAAAGCCTCCTTCTCAGAATGAAGAAGCTCTGGCAGATCCAGAGGGTTCACACAAACCAGTCCTGCATGAAACAGTTCAAACCTGCTTCTCCATCTTCTGAACCCTCTAAGCCCTCACCTCATGGCTCCCAACAAAGTTTTGTTCTTCAAAACCTAGGATGTTCATCTGAGTATCAGATACTAGCAAAAAATAATCTAAAAATTCAGGATTGGTCATCCTTTTACTTTATTGAACCTGTAGTCAACAGGTCCAAAGTAGAACCAAAAAAGATAGTACAGAAATGTATGTTTACATTTATTGAGAATACCTGTTTCTACTTCCAAGTTTCAGGGATGTATATTCCAGTAGCATTTTTGGAGAACAGAAGATCCCCAATGGGCAAAATATCAACACGCTACCACCTGACAACAGCAAGGACACCTAACCTGTGTGAATGGAATTCAAACTCCCTTCTAAAATGCTACGGTATTGTTTCAACTGTAAGGATTTCCTCCGGATACTAAATAAGCAAAAGACTCACTAGATTTTATAAATCTCAAGAAGCAAAGAGAACAAACAGAAAGAAATCATTCTGAGTTATAGTTGTCTCTGCCTACAAGACTCACCATTGACAGGCTTCTGGTGGTGTGAGTCCACAAAGTGCCTTGGGTTCTCAATGGTATACTTGAGGTCCCGGATGGTATGGGAACCATTCCCCTCACTCCACATCCCTTTTTTCGCTGCTTTTGCTTGTTCCTCACATTCTGAAAGCCGGTTTTGCTCCGGGCTGGGACATGAAAAACAAATGTGTGGTAAATGAATTCACAGAGTTTCTTTAGCATCTTCTCCCTGGAACAGACCAAAGTGTCTGTTTTGAGATCTATGGCTTAAACATCAACCTATCAACAGAAAATGACCATAAGCACAATTTCCAGATTCCAAACTGTTTCTCCAAACAAGAGATTAGATTCTAGAAGCAGATAGAATAAACATATTCAAGCACTGCCACCACCAGTGAGTAGAAAAGGAAACAAGTGAGAGGCTCAGAGGGGAGCCACTGCAGGGGTACAGTTTCACTGAACTATCCCACATTCAGCTGCTTAGCAAGCACAGCTCAGCAAAGCACAGGGAAGATTTCTAAGATGAGCACCCTTACTCCCTCTGTATCTACGAAACAAGGCTGGGACATGCCCAGTGTACCTTGTTACAGATAACACTGGCCTTAAACAACTGGTACACTCATTTCGGCCAGCTGGGCAGGGGCCAGTTTGAACACTGAGCCTCTCCTTTATCAAAAAAAACAAACTACATTAGTACAACAACAGCTAAAGTCAGTAAATAGACCAAACTAAGTATGAAAAAAAAAGATGGGTAAGCACTGGTTAGTTCATGCCTGTAATCATAGCTATTCAGGAGGCTGAGATATGAGGATCCCAGTTCAAAGCCAGCCTGGGCAGATAAGTCTGAGTCTTATCTCCAATTAACCAGCAAAATGTGGGAAATGAAGTTGTGCCCCCACCTGCCTTTAGTGAAAAAGTGAGAGCTTAGAGCACTGAGTTCAAGCCACACTACCAGGAAAAGAAAGAGGGGCTGGAGGGAAATGACTTTTCACTCTTTGATAGCAGAGTAAATTTAGGGACCATGCAAGTCTTTTGCATGACTCCAAACAATGGCTTTAGACCTAACTGAATCTCCTCCTACCTATCCATACAACTTTCTAAACAAGACTGACCTACCAATTCTTAAGCTAAGTCTTCAGTACTTCTTTATCTCAACCAAAAAGCTGCCACATGCTCAGAAATCCAAATTCCCAGCCAGAAGTCAGATAAGAAAATGTAGCAAGAGTGACAGAAACAAAACTGGAAAAAGGAGGCTTTAAGTCTACAGAGATTAGTACTCCAACAGCAGTTTCTGTTTACATTGTACAAAACTGTTGTAAGATTCCTTTTTACATTATTCACTGATTGTAAACTAAATTCTTCCTAAAAGAAAACAAAAACAAAAATACTACACTAATCATCCTTAAGTTAGAACTGTGGCATACTTCCAAAAACATCACCTAAAACAAGTATCTTAATTAAACAAATTCCTACATGGAAACACACCAATTAAAGTCCGGCAATAGAAAATACCAGAAGTGTACAGTGAGTGACCTGGTGCCAAAATTTATGCACACAGAAAGCAGGCAAAAGGTACAATGGGGCCTTTGCTCAGGCTCATCATTGGTCGAACTCATGCAAATATTTATCCAAAGCCTTTTCTTCAGCTACTACAGTTATATAATACAACAAGGACTTAATGGTTTAAGCAACATGCTTATAGCCTCTAACTTTCTGATGCACTTTCCAGAGACTAAAGTGTTAATTAAAGGCAGCTGCAATCCATTATACTTAGAGCGCGAACACTAGTTCACTTGAACATGATATATGTGCCATAAACCTTACCTACCTAATTCCCTTAAAACAAGTTCAATTTCCATTGCCTAAACAAATACATTTTGATGTTGTTGTTATTGTTGTTGCCATCCTGGGGCTTGAACTCAGGGCCTAGATGCTATCTCTGAGCATTTTGTGCTCAAGGCCAGAGCTCTACCACTTGAACCACAGTTCCACTACTGGCTTTTTGGTAATTTATAGGAAATAACAATCCCAAAATCTCTCCTGCCCAAGCTGGCTTCGAACTGTGCTCCTTAGATCTCAGCTTCCTGACTAGCTAGAATTACAGGTGTGAGCCACCAGCAGCCAGCAGACAAATATGTTTTTACTTACTAATTGACCATCGCATCTTCCTGACTAGCTAGAATTACAGGTATAAGCCACCAGCACCCGGCAGACAAATATGTTTTTACTTACTAATTAACCATCTATAGGCTCGTAGACCAAACAGATCTAAAAGGCTTTGGAGAATCGATGTCTAGAACACAGCCTGGTGTAACACATAGTAAATGCTCAGTCAATATGTGGGGCTGACGGATGGCAAATACTCTGGGACTGAAAATCTACAGGCTAAGACGAATACAAAGAGCAGCACCCTAATCTCAAAGCCTATTTTCAAGGCAGTATACACATCAATACCATTCATGAATACTGAGTGACCTCCTGGTTCAACATAATCCATGGACCAGAATATTTCAGAAGACATAGGAAGCACCTGATGTTATCCCTTTATATGAGAGAACACACAAAAATGAAGCATGACAATTTACAACTGACTAACCAATGGTCCTTGATGCCCCCAAATAAAACAGAGAAGAGGACTGAATACTTACTTATTGGCTCTCATGCCTTCTCTCCGGGTAGCCAAGCCCTCTGCAACCAGTGACTCTGCAATGTTTTCCCCATTAGTATCTGAGGAAGGAGAAAGGGAAATTAAGTACAACTTTCAAACTGGCTCCACTAGCAAAAGAAGCATCAGGGAATGAGTCACTTTCACACTTGCTCTTAAGGAGAACAATGCTTCAGAGAAATGGACAGTTAAGGATGCAGCACTGGCCTTTTCAGGAAACTTCCCCGATATGACTAGTCTCTAGGATTTAAAGGTCTATCAATCTTCTTCTCAGGAGTTTCTTATTTTCTAGTATTTCTCCCAGGCCAAAGGCAATCTCTGGGACCATGGGAGACTGACAAGAAAGCAAGACACATGTGGCAGGCAACTCAAGAGAACAGGAAACAGTGGCCAAAGAAGAGACTGGAGAAGACAAGATCTCTCAACATACTGATTTACTCATCTCTGCAGTGGAGAGAGCACTTGCCTCAACAAGTTCTGGTGAAAATTAAATACTGTGTATTAATCACTAACTCAGAGTAGAAATTAGAAAAAGTTATTCCCTTCACTTCGTAGTATCAAATAGACACATTCATTTAGGGTTGTCGATCACACTTACACCAGAATGTCCAACCCCTCTACACCATGTCCCATTCTCTGCTCCAAAAGAACACCATTGAGAAGCTACACTGCTTAAGAAAGTCTATCTCTTGCTCTCACGGAGATACAGAAAGGAGAGCATCTAGACTTCTAATCTCTCACAGCAGCCAGCAGAACAGGCAAGAAAAATAAAGTTAAACATAAAACTCAACCTGATTAGGTTCTACTTAGGCATCTGAAACATTAATTGCATTTCCACAGTATTGAAAAAGCTTTTAGGCTTGGTATATTCTCTTAAATCTTTGCTTGTCAACTGAAACCATAAAAGAAGACATCTATGAAGGAATCACTGCATAAAAATCTTTAACATGGAAGAGAACAAGCTCCCAGATAAACTGAAACACAGCAGTCTAGCTGATAGCTAATGTCAGCACAGAGTAAAACTCTGTAAGATTTATATTCAGTACACTACATCTCCACTTATATTATAGTAAGAAGTGTATGCATGAGCATACACACACAGAGCCTTGTCATTAGAATGTCCACATTTCTGCAAAGGTAAATTGCATGCCACTTCCTCTCCCAAGAAGAGTTGTAAGGAATGATATTTATACAAAGAACATGCTGAGCATAGATCACCTAACCCTTTCCACTGAGGTTAGTGCTGAAGCCAGGCACAGACTGTGTAAATATTACAAGGGTACCTTCAAAGCAACAGGAATCCCAAAGTAGAAAGATAAAACAAAGGATGTAAAGATTAGGAAAAAATTGGGTACCCAGATGCCAAGAGTTGAGAGGGTAAACAGAATAAAATGCAGGCACTAAAAAGGTGGAGAAGCCATAAACCTGCCAATCAACAACACACCAGTATCTCAGACATTTCCTTTTCACCCAGCACTCTAAAATAGCCCACTTCTAAAAAGTGAATTCTATTCAGAAAGAATTCCTTCAGAAAGGAAAAAATATATATTACTTAAGCTGAATTCTCAAAGGAGACAACAAGATTTGGTAGATAGAAAACTAAAACAGACATTTACATTTATAAGCCAAAGATCTCATTTTGTTTATCAACTTAGAAATGTGTCAAAATCAGGGGAATTCCATTCAGAGCCAGTGAGTAGATAACCTGTCTTCAAAGTCAGAAACAAACCATCTCCTTTTTAGTAAATTCTAGGTATTAACGGATGGCTTGGATGTTGAGTGTTATGTAGGAATAAGGGCACCAACTGAAAGGATCCGTCACATCCATCCCAGGGGATCACACAGAGGCAGGCAGGCACAGGACAAAGATTATTACAAGGTTTATTAGAGAAGCCATATTTCTCCTAGAGAGAGAGAGCACATGACAGCCTCCACTATCTAGGGTTAGGAAGTGAGATAGATGAAAGATAAGAGGATCTGGTCAGGGAGAACGAGGGGCCAGCGGTATGGCGGGAACTCCAGGGCAGGGAGGAGCTCAGGTCTATGTGGAGCTGAGGACCAAAGGTGGGCATAATGCTTACACCAACTTGAAAGAACCTGACAAAGTTTACTTCTATGCACCATCAGCCAAAAATTGGCAGGCAAGCACATAGAGCAGGAAGGCTACTCTCTCTTTATCCCTAATGCAACAGTTCCTGGGCTGGGAAGGTGGCTCAGTGGTAGAGCGCTTGCCTTGCATGCTCGAGGCCCTGGGTTCGATTCCTCAGCACCACATAAGCAAAAAGAAAAAAGCCGGAAGTGGGGCTGTGGCTCAAGTGGTAGAGCGCTAGCCTTGAGCTGAAGAGCTGAGGGACAGTGCCCAGGCCCAGAGTTCAGGCCCCACTACCGGACTCAAAAAAAAAAAAACTGCCACCTAATGCAACAGGTCCTGTCTCTGTGTTCCAATTGGCCAAGCTCAGATTCACAATACGCTCATGACTGGCTAATTTGAATACATTCAATATGCAGTTTACATACTTAGTTGTAAAGTGACCATTAAAAGACTTTAAGATGAGCCGGGCGCCGGTGGCTCACGCCTGTAATCCTAGCTTCTCAGGAGGCTGAGATGTGGGGATCGCAGTTCAAAACCAGCCTGGGCAGGAAAGACCCTGAGACTCCTATCTCCAATAAACCACTAGAAAACGGAAGTGGCGCTGTAGCTCAAGTGGTAGAACGCACACCTTGAGCTGAAGAACTGAGGGTCAGCGCCCAGGCCCAGAGTTCAAGCCCCACGACCTACAAAAATAAAAAATAAAAATAAAAATAATTTTTAAAAAAAGACTTTAAGATGAAGCAATCCCAAAACATACTCATACCCACTGCTATTTTCTTGAAAAAGCTCAGGTCTGTCTCATTCTTCCATTTTGGAACAGTGTGTCTTAATTTCTCTTTATTATCTTTAAGTAGTTGTACAAAGAAGTTCCCATTCTACAAAACAGTATATGAGTACCAAGTGTCTGACAAATTGTCACCCATCTCTCTTAACCCATCCCTTCTCTAGATGAAGCAATCCCAAAACATACTCATACCCACTGCTATTTTCTTGAAAAAGCTCAGGTCTGTCTCATTCTTCCATTTTGGAACAGTGTGTCTTAATTTCTCTTTATTATCTTTAAGTAGTTGTACAAAGAAGTTCCCATTCTACAAAACAGTATATGAGTACCAAGTGTCTGACAAATTGTCACCCATCTCTCTTAACCCATCCCTTCTCTCAGCTTTTTTTCTTTAATTGAGATTAGGTGATTACATAAATTTCACATATTTCACAGTATTGAGGAATAGTGATAGTTAAGAGTCACAAACACATTTTAACTTTCACAAGGCAAATTATCATTATCATGGTCTACAGTTTGTGAATTCTATGAACTTTGACATTACAAGTTATTTTTTCTACATCAGGTGATGTTTACATTTCTCTCCTTTTGCTTAGTGTGGGCTGTTCCCACCTATTCTGTTCCTCCTCCTGGCTTCCCTCTGTTGCGTGCATATATCTACCATGTATATGGTCCAGAACATGGAGTCATTTAGCAATGATATGACAAAATGGGTGGCTGTCCTTTGTGTTTTGAGTCCTGTTTGCCATATCTTCTTCTATTTTGGCTTTAGTATCCACATATCAGGGAGACCATGTGCCATTTGTCTCTTTGTTCTTGGCTTACTTCACTCAAAATAATCTGCTCTAGTTCCATACATTTCCCTGCAAATGCCATTATTTTGTCCTTTCTAATGACTGCATAATATTTCATTGTATACAGGTACTACAATTTTTGGATCCACTCATCAGTAGTGAGTAGGACATCTGGGATGTTTCCAAATCTTGGCTATTGCAGACAGTACTGCAATAAACATGGAGGTGCATGTGTCTTTGTAAACTAGTTCCTGTTGCTCAGGGTAGATGCCTAAGAGTGGTATGGCTGGGTCATAGGGGAGGTCTATATTTAGCTTTCTGAGGTTATCTCCAGACTGTTGTCCAAAGTGGTTGTATTAGTATTCATTCCCACCAGCAATGCAGTAAGGTTCCTCTTTCTCTGCATCCCCTCCAGCATTTGTCATTGGCTGACTTTAGGGTATGGGCCATTCTGACTGGGGTAAGGTGTTATTTCAGTGTTGTTTTTATTTGCATTTCCTTCACAGCCAGGGATAATGAACATTTCCTCATGTGTTTCTTTGCCATATTTATCTCCTCTTCTGAGAAATCTCTCTTTAGTTCCTTTGCCCATTTCATGATTAGTTTGTTAGATGTGTGAGAGGTTAGTTTCTTGAGTTTCCTGTATATAATGGATATTAAGACCCTTGCCTGATATTTCGCTGGTAAGTATTTTTTCCCAATTAGTTGGCTGTCTTTCTAGTCTGGTTGCTAGTTCTTTGTCTATGCAGAAACTTTTTATTTTAAGGTAGTCCCGTTGTCCAGTTTCTCTCCAATTTGTTGTGACCCTGGGACTCCGTTCAGGAATTTCCTGCCTATGCCTATAAGTTCAAGTGTCTCTCCTACTCTGTCCTGCAGTAGTTTCAGAGTATCAGGTTTGATGTTAAGGTCTTTAATCCATTTTGAGTTGATGTTAGTGCATGGTGATAGGCTAGGGTCTACTTTCATATTTCTGCATGTGGCCACCCAGTTTTCTCAGCACCAATAGTTGAAGAGGTTATGATTCTTCCATTGCTCTGCTACTTTCTTAAAAAAAATCTCAGGTGCATCTTAATTCCTCTTCCATTTGGAACAACCACTTAAGACAAAACCTTACATTTCAAAAATTCTTCCTTATCCCAAAGCATTTCCTTTTCCTCTTTCTTTACTTGCTGATATTGTCTTAGCAGAATAATTAACCAGAGCCAAGCCACCAAGCCAAAGTAGCAACTTTTTAAGTAACCCACTTTGATAGAAAAGGTGGCTTTTCTCCATGGTTAGCTACAAATTCTACCCATTCTCTTCCATGATAAGAGCAAGTCAAGATCATTCTCAACTCATTTTTCTGAAACCTCCATAATTAAAATCATTCTTAAACAGAATGTCATTAGCTTGGCCACTCAGGCCTAATTGTTTGCTTCTATATTGACTACCTAAATCAAACAGATTATCTAAAGCACATTAATTACATGTGATTTTTAGGAAGGTTCTTTTTTTAATTAAAAGGACACAGGAAACTTTAAAAAAAAGAAAACAGCTTCCCTAATGTTTACCTTCTTCCTGGTTGCTTTTTAGAAAACACTCACTTGTTTCGTTGTCTTTTGTCCATTCCCCAATATTATTCTTTGTCTACCTCATCAAGGGACCACAAATGCTTCCTCGGAAGCATATGGCTAAACAATAGCTATAAGTCTATGCACAGAAAAGACAAACACATTTACAGAGTTACTGAATCAAAGACCATGCAAAAGCTAGGTGCTTTCCATATATCTTTTTTAAACTTGTAAGAGCTTATAAAAGAAACTAGAGGCTAAGGGATGAGAATATAGAATGACAAAGTCAGAATTCTAATCCACAGCTACACGACTCAAAGCCAGTTTCTTCTATTCTATTACAAAATGTATGGTCTGCAAAAAACAACAGTCCTGAACTGAACTTCCTTTACTGAAGAGTCCCGGGAAGAGGGAGAAAAAAGCCATAAGATAAAGTACAAGAGGGTGTAATATAGGAAATCTATATGAATTTAATTAACACACTGACTTCAAAGCACAAAGCCACTAAGTTCCACAAGCAGATACCCTAAACATAAGGAAGAACACTGTGCTATGCCACATGGGCCTTGTTTTACAAGCCAAAAAGGCAGCATAGGAATAAATGAGCAGGACTTCTGGGAGTGTGCCTCTGTTCCTCAGAACCATGTGCCTAGTACCTACACTTCCAATGTCACCCTCAGCCAACCATCCAAGAGCTACTGTTACCAGAACCCACCCTGGCCTTGTACTACATAATAGAAAAACAATCCTTAGAGGAACCTGACAGTCCAAGAGAAGCAAGTTGGCTCCTCCTTGCTGCTCACCTTTTCCAAGGTAGATCATACCATACTCTCGCCCCTGGAGAGTCTTGTTTTCTATTGTGAAACATACTTCCTTCCCAATCAGCTTCTTGCGAAGGAACTCTCGAGCAGGAAATGCCCAGGGCTGAAAGACAAAACAGAAATGTCACAGGGCTGTCTATTCCAGACCCCAGCCAGCATTCAAACAACTTTACATCTTTAATAAATGCCTGGTCCTGGTCCTCCACTGGGCCAAGGAGAATGTGGAAACAAAATACATACAACACAAATTGCACACTTAAGAGGCCACATAAATTAATTAGCTCAAGACTTACAAACAGGCCTTGGAGCTTTACAGACACTGGCAATAGCACTTTTCCTCCATCACTGTTCAGTTACAGCCTACTTCATGAATGATACTTACCAATGCTTTTACAGTACATAGCATGTGCCAGTCACTACTCTAATTCCTTTCAATATAACAACCTACTCCCAGAATGGGAAGCCCAGGCTCTAGAACCTCCTAGAACAGAGCATGTCATAAATAAAAACTACTACCTCCATTTGTTTGCCTCTTTCCTGTTTGCAAAGTACTTTCCCTGAAACCATTTCAAGGCACTATTAGAGTAGAAACAAGGTTTTAGTACTATTATCTTGAAGTAAGTCCTCTGCTCAAATAAGAGCCTTGTTTATGACATTTCTGCCACCTATGAAGGACAGTAATGGGGCTCAGTAGTAGAACACTTTCCTGGCATGTACAAGCCCTGGGTTTGATCCCCAGCACCACAAAAAAACAAGGAAGGAAAACAACAGTGGCGTTTTGAGTGTAGACTCCCAAATGTCTCCTTTTTCGGCTTTGATCTGAAGCTCTAACAGATCCTAGAATCTTGGGAGATCACCAGTGATAGCCACCGATAAGGATCACCCAGATAATGGCTAATCTCCGCTTACCCACAGAGGACATCAGACACAGGTGAAAAGCCACACACTCCACAGGCGAGACTACAGTCTCCATGTGAACAAAATAATTCACAAAGATAAATGGAGATTCTCCTCTGAAGCAGCCCTCTCAAAGTAGCCACAGCATTTGAACCTGCAATCTGCACCTTGCTCAGTACCCCAAGTTTCCTTTGAACAGAAAGGTTAGAATGTTAAAAACAAAAGCTGAGAGGTGATATTGTCCAAAAAGAAATGTACTCTTTACCTGATTTATTTAATTGTAACCCCTTTGTATATCAACTGTATAACAAAAATTAAATTAAAAAAATAATTTTTTTTAAAAAAGAAAGAAAGGGGATGGGCATGTGGTCTGTAGGAGTTCACAAGCTGAAAAAAAAAGCAAAATAAATACACAAGTGTTTTCCCCTTTAACAAATTACTGCACATAAGTTTCCCATTAGAATCCCTTGGAATCACAAAATTAGGGATACACATGATAAAAGCAGAGCAGTCAATTAGTGACCTAAAAAGAAAGCCTCTGCCAACCTTTCTGTTAATGAAGATTATTACATGGAGTCACTCAACAAGCTCAAGCTTTTCTAAAAGAAAAACATGCACGACTACCCAGAAATCAGTAGTCATGAAAACCAGAGCAGTTACCTAACATAGACTGTGAATTGTTTAGAAAAACTAGTCCTGAATACAGATGCTCAGATACCTCCAAACTACCTTGTCCTTAATTACCTTATGCCCTTTCACAGTACCAATAAGCCAAAAAACAAAAACACTCAATGGCAATATAAAGTTCACCTATTACTATTTTCACCACTCCCCACTTCCGAAAACTCACCAGTCTGAGGTCAGATTCATGATTCTAACTATCATTCATATCATAAGTGGTACTGAGCCTCCTACACTTTTATTACCTTAGTGTTCAAGTTATTCTATAACACATCTGCATATAGCCTGACTGAAGACCTAGTCCTAAGTACCACGCTAATATTTAAAATTCAGTAACATGCTACTTTCTTAAATGCTTGGAAAAGTTCTGCTAACACAAGTCTTCCTAAAGGAAGCCACTACTTTGGTGAGAGCTCACTTATCAAGGGTCAGTTCACAAGGAAATAAATACCTTGCCCCTAGAGATCTTCCAGGTTCTATCCACCAAACAGAAGTTGTCTAAAAGCTTTTAGTGCTTGCTGAAAGAACAGCCTCATGTTTACAGATGGCCAGTCACTGGGCAATAATATAAACCCACACTGGAGGCCCTGAAATATAGAGCTAGCCCATGGAGATTCCGTAATCTTCCTTTCCATTTTAAACTCTGTTCTATACAGAGCTGAGCAAATTCTGTAACTAGATGAGATATTAGCTAAGAAGAGAGGCTGTCTGTCAGGAGACACTGGACCATCATTCCACTGAACACAGGCAAGTACTATGGGAATCACTGTGGACCTGGGGCCAGTGCTTTTGTATCCACACAGCACAGCCAGACAGAAGGCTACCTGGGCCACACTACCTCCCCAAACAACTTAGAAGAGGAAATATGGAGAGATTTGCTCAAAGCACTTATTGGAGTCAGAATAGCCTAATAGGAAGAATAACTGCAATCTATTCAAATGATGCCCCAGAGCCCCATTAAAGAACCAAGTGGCCTTTTAGTAACAGATTCAAAACAACCTCTTCCCTCTAGAAGGCCCAATAGTAGGTATAAGCTGGCAGCTTGCTCTCCATACCCAGATTCAAACTGAGATAATGTCTAAAGTTTGTGAAATAAAACTTTTTAATTCCAATCTTCTCTTTATGGTTAGACTCCTAAAACTACTAGGAAAAAAAAAAATCAAACCCCATAACAATGTAAACTTAAAAGCTGTTACTTTGGTACATGACGTCTTGTTCCTCCCTCTCTTCTAATCATCCCATTCTGCCACCTGAGTATTTTGTTCTACCAGTGCTCCCTCACCACCCCAATCCTCAAATCTCTAAGCAAAGTAGGACTGTTACATTCATTTCTGGACTTATGAAGCCTACATAAGAGTTTCACACACAGCAGGAGCTCAATTAATCTGTGGGAAATAAATATATAATTCCCACAGTGCCCATCAATACAGTATCTAGGCTGCCTGGAGTAGCTAGGCAACAGTAGGGATTAGCCTGGAACTGGGCAGTGCTGGCTGGAGACACAGCTGCCATAGGACTTAGGAGAAACCTGAGTATCACTGAAAGAAAGGGAAGACAGAATAATCAAGTGAATGATTTAAGGGGCAATGATACAAAGGAAAGCAAAGAGTAATAATGTTCCAATTCTCCTTAAATGTGAAAACTAGCTATGGGAAATGCTCTCTATATATAAATGGAAAGCTTGGAAAGGTAGTGCTACATTGTGCGATCCAACCCCAAAGGGGAAACACGGATACTTTTCCTCCTTACCCACATTAGTGTTATTCACTAGATAGCTGCTTTGTGTCAGCTGCTGAAGGGGACAAGGGCGGAAAGGCGACAGTAAAAAGTCCCTCCTTTTGAAGAGCTTATGATCTAGTAGAAAGAAACATGCAGACCTGGAAGGAAATGTGGGTATGTCTTCTCAAGTGGCTAGATCCTAAAAGGAAGTGGTCACCAGGCCACATAGACAGGAAATGTGACTAGAGCATCAGGAGCTGAAGGTGAGAAGAGAATGGACTCAAGCAGCCTGGGAGGAAAACCCAGTGCTGCAATAGTTAAACCTCAGCAGCCAAAGGGGCTTCAGGAAGAGAATGCAAGTGAAATCACAAATAGGCTATATTCCAGGCTCAGGCATATGTACGTTTGTCACAAAGGTAATGAGGAATCAGCGAAGCATCTGAGAATAACAATGAGCCACAGAATAAATGGAAATTATGTGTCAATGGATCTGGGAGCCTACAGAGAAAGGAGGAGAAGGAAGGAGAAGAAAGGCAAAGAGACTATTATTTCAACATTCCAAGCACACTATCAGAGTTGAACAAAGAACAATAGCAATAGTAATGAAATGGCAAGGATGGATAGGAGATTTGAAGGAGGCAGAATCTCTAGGCTTGATAAAGGCCTGGCTGTTGGCATCAGGGGAGTGGAGGACTAAAACTAGAGCAAGGATAATCAGTCTTCTGGTTTGGGATAACAATTGGGCTCCCTAGTAACGTGTAAGAGCAGCTCTGAAAGCATGGTAGAATGAAAACTAAATCACAGCAGGGTAAGGAGAGACTGGGTATTAGAGAAGAGAAATGACTATGAGCTGGGAAGGGTAAAGTCTACAGCTACCGAATACTTCATCCCACAGGATCTTTGACAAGTTACCACAAAAATATTGGTGACACTAAGCTGCTCTAGAAGAGCATAGAATGCATAAATACAGGGAACTATAATGGAATGTCAGGTAAGATTACATGCTATCCTTCATGCTGGGATAGTTCTGGTCAGTTTCTATAGTTCTGTTACAGTTATGATGTTTGAGAACAAGTCCCAACTAGCCTTGTGTTTCTCTGCCCCATTCTCAAGAACAAAACAGGAAATTAAAACACAACCCTTCTTTCTCAGAGACTGCACTGTTTCTTTCTTCAGGGGAAATGAAGTTGATCAACTCCAAGAAGGGCCAACATTCTTCACCTCTCAGCAGCAATCACACTGTTTTGTTTTGTTGGGGGTTTTTTGTTTTTTTTTATTGTGAAAATACCATACAGAGGGGTTATGTTATACAATATGCAGCTAAAAGGAAGAGGCCTGAGGAAATATTGTTTTACCCATTTGGTTAGCAGTGCTGAAAGACAGATTTAATCTTCTTTTACTTGGTCTAATACAAGCAGTAGTGATTACCACAACTAACATTTATTAAGTATTTTATAATGCCCTAAACACTTCATATATTGTTATTTAATCCTTATTGGGCAACTCTGAGGTATACACTATCACTCATATGGTTGCTGATAGAGGAACAATGAGAAAGAATTGATCTTAATCTATTTAAGTCATTCTGAGAATCTAACTGATTGCTGTTAAAAAGTCATTTTTCTCTATCTCCATTATCTACAATGTTGCTTTATGATCTTCTTAAACAAAACACCCTTTGTTAAAGATAGAAAACACTAAATGCTTTTCCTTCTTGAAAAGCTCCTCATGAACTCTCACTTTTTCTTCTCCACTTCTGTAGCAGGGATGAGCATAGGAGAGCTGACTACTAATCTCCCAATGTCATCGAAATGGAGCAAAGGACAATGAAGGATGAAGGAATTCCATTTCTCATACCCAAAGCAGCATTCAATGTTTCTAAATGTAGAAACCAAGAAGACTAAACCTTGCCAAAAGGAGATTCATAGGCACAAGAACTTAACAAGTAAAAGCCCAGACCACAGAAGCCAAATGGCCAGGCATTGGAGCTAGAGTGCAGGATGTGAACAAGATAGTGGGCAAATGCTCAGAAGTAGCTTCTCATTGGCTGGGAAGGTGGCTCAGTGGTAGAGCGCTTGCCTTGCATGCATGAGGCCCTGGGTTCAATTCCTTAGCACCACATAAGCAAAAAAGGAAAAAGCTGGAAGTGGCGCTGTGGCTCAAGTGGTAGAGTGCTAGCCTGGAGCTGAAGAGCTGAGGGACAGCGCCCAGGCCCAGAGTTCAGGGCCCACTACCAGACCCCCCACCCAAAAAAAAAAAAGAAGAAGAAGAAGTAGTTTCTCACATAACTAGAATACAGTGGAAAGCTATGAGTTACTGAGAAACCAAAGGAAACTCCCTCCTTTAAAAGAAAAATCAATTTTTTTTTAAATTTACAGTTTCATGAGATTCCTTTAGGGGTGTATGGATCCCAAATTAAGATGTGCAATAAGCTGAGAGCCAGTGGTTCGGGCTGCTATCTAAGAATTGTGGATTCAAAACCAGCTCAGGAAGATAAATCTGAGACACTCTCATCTCCAATTAACTAACAAAAAGTCAGAACTTGGGAGGGGGGGTATGATTGGGTGGGGGGGAAGGGGGAGGCTGGGAAGGGAGGTGAAGGGTAAACAAAGGAGGAGGCTGCAATGCTTGATAAGAAATGTATGCATTATCCTGCCCATGTAATTGTAACCCCTCTGTACAGTATGTTCTCAAATAAAATAAAATAAAATTTAAAAAAAAAAAAATTCAGAACTTGAGGTGTGGCTCAAGTGGTAGAGCATCAGCTGTGAGCAGGGAACAAAGATGAATAACAGCAAGAGGCCCAGAGTTCAAGCCTGATTACCAGCACACACAAAAAAGGAACAGCTGGGTGCCAGTGGTTCACACCTGTAATTCTAGCTACTCAGGAGGCTGAGATCTAAGTATCACAGTTCAAAGCCAGCCCAGGCAGGAAAGTCCGTGAGAGTGCTAGCCTTGAGATGACAGGGCCCAGGCCCAGAGTTCAAGCCTGGCAACCGACAAAAAAAAAAAGGGAAGAAAGAAATACGTGAAATAATGGTTCTCTACCATTTATGAAAATGACATTTTGTAAATGCTAAATGCCTCTGGAAGAAGACACTTATAACAGCAGTTGTCTCTAGGGAAAGGTCTAGATTTTTCACAGCTCTTCCATAACCAACAAAAACTTAAAATGACTCTGACAACAAAAAAGTGTTCTCCATTTATGCCCAAAGAATGGGTAGTGAAAACACAGACAAACCTAACTCTGTGGGAAAGGACTAAAGAAAAAGCCATGAGCCTGTGACTTTTGCTCAGGTATCAGTCTGTACAAGAACAGGTGCAGACTCACAGGAGCAAATCCAGAGTCATCAATCCCAAGATATAATAATACAGAAAATGCACAAAAAAAGAGAAAACATATAAAAACTGCATCAATCCAGGAAGAGATGGGACCTGCTACAAAGGTCATAAGAAGACCCTGGGAAGCACCTACCTCATCTGGGGTATCTTTTGCATCTGGTTGTGTGGCAGCTGCCCGCCGGGCCAGATTTCCAGCACGAATGTTGCTGAGGTTGATCTGCCGCTCGGGAGGAGGCCCACCTCGTGGCTGCCCTCGGACAATGATGGCACATCCTGAGAGCACCTAAGCAAGGGAACAAAAGAGAAAATTAGCGACCTGGAGGCAAAATCACCACAATGTAGGTTGCTCTTTAATGAGTGCCCAACAGCGCTCAGTAGACTAGAGGCCCACTTTTAAATATGTGTTGAGTGACTAAATAAACCAAATTATCTTTAATTATATGAGAAGTACCTACATAAAGCTTTGATTCAGAAATGAGGGAAACAAAAACACAAACAGGAGTTAAACAAAATAAATAGGCTACAGTAAAAAGTCACGTGAGACACAAAGGTTAATGATCTTTGCAATTTCATCTCAGCAAGCACTAACACTTATGTTCAATTATTAAGAAGTTAATATTTCCATCCACATTTTCCATTTTAGAAAACAGTGGAAAAAAGGGGAGGCCAAGAGTCAGTGACTCCCATCTGTAATCCTAACTTCTTAGGAGGTAAAAGATCAAGGGCTATTGAGATTAAAGGTCAACCTACGAAAAAGGCTAGCAAGACCCATCTCAAACAACTAGCTAGCCATAGTGATACATGCCTAAGGTCTGGCCTACACAAGAAGCCATAAGTAGACAGTCCAAGGCTGGCCTGGGCAAAAAACAAGACTACCTATAATAAAGAAAAAAGAGCTGGAGGCACTGCTCAAGTTGCAGAGTGCCTTCCTACATACGTGTGAGGTCCTGAATTCAAACCCTGGTACCACCAAAAATGAGAAAAAAGGGGGGGGGGTGGGGGACTGGAAGAAGCCAATCCACACCATCCAGGAGGAACTGAGCATTCCCAAAGCCAAAAGAAAAATACAGCCGTGCAGTAATCTAGAGAGTCCACACCATAGATGATCAGGAGAATCTAACACACAAAGACTCCTTTCCCTCTCTCCAATCAAGAGGGCCAGCACAGAATCTACAGAACTGTGGAAAGACCCTAAAGCTCATTAGCATTTAGCTTTAAAATATCTGTAAGTGCCTGTAATCCTAGCTACTCAGGAGGCTGAGATCTGAGGATCACAGTTCAAAGCCAGCCCGGGCAGGAGAGACTGTGAGACTCCTATCTCCAATAAACCACCAGAAAACCGGAAGTGGCGCTGTAGCTCAAGTGGTAGAGCGCTCGCCTTGAGCTGAAGAGCTGAGGTACAGCGCCCAGGCCCAGAGTTCAAGCCCCACGACCGACAAAAAAAAAAAAAAAAAATATCTGTAAGGACAAAAGAAGGGGGGAAAACTCAAGTGGGAGAATAGAAGGAAAGTGAGAGTGGGCAGGAAAGTGACTCAAGCTATTTAAATTGCTTTTGCTTGGCAAGACACACTATGAAGAACAGGTGGGCTCAGGTACTGGCTTCACTGGATCCAAAGCATACTCCATGCCAGGCTTCCCAACAACCAACAGCTGCTGAAAGGTTGGCAGATAGAAGGGTGGAAGGTTTTGGCAACAGAACAACAGAAGAAGAGACCAGCAAGACTATAAAGGAACGATCTAAAGGAAACAGAACCAGAAAGGCGTAAGAAAGGCATATATACTCACTAGCAGACATTTCACCCTCTTAACATATATTCAGACGTGAATTTAAACATACAAGTTAAAGAGAAAGAAAAGAAAACAACTGAATAACCACAACCCAAATTAAAAACCTGTAACAGTGCCAAACTTTGGATTTCTTCTGTGACCCTCTCCTAGGAGCCCTTTCTGACACCCACTGACCACTATGATAAACCCTACCTTGTTTGTTTTTCTGAACAGTTCATCTAGATATACATCCCTAAGCAGTATAGCTTCATTTTCTATTTCTGAACTCTGATTTAATTAAGTCTACTATATGAACCAAACAACAACGGGCTGCTTCTGCTCATTTTCTTCACTAAAATTCGCCTCTGCTGACATGAAAATATTCATATTTATATCAGGCGAAGTCCAATGCACAAATATTAATATTCTACTTTTATAAAACTAGTGCTCTGATTTATCTCAGTATTTCCAATGACTTCAGCACAGAGACGGAGATCCTTGGAAATGGAGGTGTAGTTCAAGTAGTAGAGTGACAGTCTTAGGGGAAAAGAGACAGAGTTCCTTCCTCTTTGGCCATATGTACCCCCCCCTTCTCTATCTCCCCTCTCTCTCTGTCTCTCATATACACACAGTCGAACTAGTCCAGGTATGAGGTATATTCTTTATTTTTATCTTTTGAGTAGTGTTAACAAGCAATGAAACTCAAACTTCTAGCCAAACCTTGTTAAACAGTCTATCCTGAGAACCCATCCCCTGGGCAACATCTCAGAAAAAAAGGTTCTAAACAGAAAAAATCTTTCAAAGCCAAGAAAGAACAGGCATGCTAAAATAGAGGATATCTTGAAGTTCTTGAAACAGAGCAAGAAAGTCAGAGTCAAGAGCTTGATCCACCAATTTATAATCAATTCTTCCTTATGGGTAGCAGAAGCCATATATACAGTAGCAACAGCACATTTTAGGGGCTGGAGTGGGGGCTCAAGTGGTAGAACACTTGCCAATGATTCCTGAGGCCCTAGGTTCAATTTCCAGAACCTCCAAACCCAAACACACACACTCACTGAATACTTCCTCTTTAAATACATTCCCAAGGTGTCTAAGGAAGCCAAGCTACATATACCACACAAACCACAAATATCCAGTGTCTGTTCCTTAATTCTTGTAAGCTCAAGTTTTCACAGAAATAAAGCATTCCAAGAGACCCAGCACCTCTTGGTAAAGCCCCACTGGGAAAGCTAAGCCCATTTACAAGAGAATTCACCATGGCCGTCCAAGATAAACTATGACAAACAAGCACCTGCCCAAGAAACCATGTTTGTTTCTCATGTCTGACAAAGGCTGATGAAAGCTCAAGAACAGAATAAATAGTGAGAAGAACCCTCTTTCACCTGAAATATTAGAATACCTGTCTCTGCCAGGTTGGATCCTTGGAGGCAATGAGTCTACAACTATTATCCTAGCCCCACTCAGGGCACTTTGGCAAACTCTGCACACTCTCCCGTCTCCCAGAACACTATTCAGAAGATGGCCATCAGAACTTCTTTGTGTTATTGCATCAGATATACTTGAGTTAAAACCTGAGAGAGATTACTTTTTCAACTACTCTGTGCATTTTATACTATTAAGCAGCAGTTGCCAATCGAATCTCCAAAGCAACAGAGACAGATTCCGGTGGTAGGTATGTGTATACCTTTCCTCTCCAACTCTCTTCCCCTCATTAGCTGGTAGCCTTGGTGGAAAGGTAGGCGAAGCCTTTGTCTGTAGATCACTGTGGAAGAAAAAGACCTATCTGTAGCAAGGAAGATCTCCTTTCCCTTATACTGTTTATAGGAACTGAAAATGTTCAAAACACACTATTTGCCTCTTCTCTGCCTCCTCCACTCACCTGCCAAGCACTGCTAAGCTTCTTTCACCTGCCTTACTTAGCAACAGTTTTTATTCCACTTCTTCCCAATAAAGATATTTTAATGGTCTCCTCCTACCAAAGGTTCTCCACCAAATAAAACCCAGCAGAAATACCCTCAGGTAGAAAATACTTAAAATGTCTTAAGTAAAATATGAGAAAGACCAAGAGGCTATAAATCAACTTATATTTCATCCAGCATTGAGTCAGTTTTCTTCTGTGAAATACTTGATATCTAAGTTGAGTTTTTTTATAAGTATGTTCACTGATAAGGCTTATTTATTCATTTATTAATTCAACACATACATACTGTGTGCCTACTATGAGCAGGGCTTTGTTCTTCTAAGCAATTTTCACATTTCAGTAAAGTAAGACAGATGAAACTATCTGTTCTGGGAGAACTAATATTCTAGAGTAGAACAAATGGTAAATACCACAAGCAAGTAAAACATGTCATTTATCAGAATTTTAATCTCAGAATTGTGTTAAGATTGAGAAGAAACTGTCACGGGTAATTGATCTGCCAGAGCAGTCAGTACTGACTGATTCATGTTGCAAACTTTCATGGATGTGGTAATTATCCCTAATTGCTAATTTATAGGGCATAGAAAACAAGTCATATGGTTGCTGCTTTATCCAATTAGATTAATAAAATGACATATTCTAGAAAAACGATCTTAGGACTACCTGATAAAGCAGAAGGTTTATGAAACCAGCTGTCACAATGAGTCAGTTTGATTGAGGTTATGGATTAGACATTTCTCATCTCTGCCAATAAAGGTTGCAGAAGGATGCAGTGTGATTCAAAGGACCTAGCTTCAGGGCATGAGTCAGACAGCTACAAAGGCTGAACCAAGTCAGCTGAGAAGGAAAATGGGGAGTCAAACTGTTCAAACCCAATTGACAGGCTTATGGGAGATTTACCTACAGTGAAACACTAGATGGGCAGCTACTAAAATGTTGCCTGGCAACAGCAACACCACATTAAATCTTCACTAGAATCTGATAAATGATTTGGTGCATTTAACACTTTAACTCCCAGGCCACTGATACCTATAATACAAAAACCTAGTCTCGAAAAAAAAAAATAGAGCCTTAAGTTTGCCAGCAGTGCCATCATGGTTTCCAGCAATAATTATTCTAGCCTGAAGATAATATCTTATTAGCTTTCCAATAAGGATTGCCTTAGTAGGTAAATGTCAACAGTAACAACTGCCAATATGAAAAACCACTACAAAAGACCAGGGCAGACACTGGATGATAGATATTAAAAAAAGAAAGTCCAAAATAAGTCCATACAATCACAGTCTCCTTTTTTTTTTTTTTGGTCGGTCATGGGGCTTGAACTCTGGGCCTGAGCACTGTCCCTCAGCTCTTCAGCTTGATGCTAGCTCTCTCTCTATCACTTGAGCTAACAGCACCACTTCTGGTTTTCTGGTAATTTATTGGAGATAAGAGTTTCACGGACTTTCCTGCCCGGGCTGGCTTTGAACGGTGATCCTCAGATCTCTGCCCCCAGAGTAGCAAGGATTACAGGCTTGAGCCACAGGTGCCCTTTAACCAAAGTGCTAAGATAATTTAGTGGAGAGAGTAGCCCTTTCAGCCAATTAGTGGAAAAACAATTAGATATAGTATCTTACATTATCTACAAAGGGGAATTCAATTCAAAAAGGATCAGAACCATCTTAGCTACTCAGGAAGTTAAGATCTAAGGATTGTGTTTCAAAGCCTGTGGAGGCAGGAAAGTTTGTGAGCCTCTTATCTTCAATTAAGTACCAAAAAAGCCAGAAGTAGAACTGTGGCTCAAGTGGTAGAGCACTAGCTTTGAGCCCAAAAGTTCGAAGGCAGCAGCCAGGCCCCTGAATTCAAACCCCAGGACAAGGGAAGGGGAAGGGAGGGGAGGGGAGGGAAAGGAAGGGGGAAGGGAAGGGAAGGAGAGGGGAAGAGAGGGGAGGAGAGGGGAGGAAAGGGGGAGGGAGGGAGAAGGGAAGGGAAAGGGAAGGGGAAGGGAGGAAAGGAAAGGAGAGGAGAGGGAGAGGGAGGGAGAAGGAGGAGGAGGGAGGAGAGGGGGGGAGGAGAGAGGAAGGGGGAAGGAGAGGAGGGGGAGGAGAGGAGGGGGAGAAGAGGGGAAGAGAGGGGAGGAGAGGGGAGGGAAGGAGAGGGGAGGAGGGGGGAGGAGGGGGAGAAGAGGGAGGGAAAGGGAAGGAAGGGAAGGGAATAAAGCGAGGGAAGGAAGGAAGGGAGGGAGGGAGGAAGGAAGGAAGGAAGGAAGGAAGGAAGGAAGGAAGGAAGGAAGGAAGGAAGGAAGGAAGGAAGGAAGGAAGGAAGGAAGGGAGGGAGGAAGGAAGGAAGGAAGGAAGGAAGGGACAGAGGGAAAAGAAGGGAGGGGAGGGGAGGGGAGGGTAGAGGAGGGGAGAAAACTACTATGCTATGCCAAAGAAGGCAGACAACAAGGCCAATATGGGATGATTCCATTTATACAAAAATGTCCAGAAAGCAATTCAGAGACCCCCAAGTAGATAAGAGGTTTCCAGAGATGGAAGGAAGAAAGACTGGGGAGTAACCACCAAGGACTAAACAGGGCTTTTCTAAAGATGATGTCTGAACCTCATACTTTACAAAGGGCTCACTCCCTCTCACTCTCACTCTCCCTTTTCCCCCTCGCCCTCCCCCCTCTCTCTCTGGCAAGCAAGAAGTAAACCTAAATTAAAGGGCCCCACAATGAAAATGAGTGAATTGGAAACCCAGCCCTGCTGTTTACTAGCTTAGGATACAGACTTCTAAGCCAGCTGTGTCACAAATTGGCCCTTGGTGTGCAGTTTAGGGGACTTTACATCTCAGAAGGATCATATACAAAGAGAAGACATAAAGAAAGCATCTAATCTGGACCCTTCTACTTTACAACTGAAAAATCTGAATAAAGATAGGTAAGGTGACTTTTGCCTGAAATACCAAGGTAAGAGCAAGGACTAGGACTGAAGACTCCCAATTATGACAGTCCACTGTGCTGTGTGGAGAAACAAGCATTTGTGAGCTCATTTCTCTGTTCAAATGGCAGTTGAGGTTACCTACGGATTAAATCCTTTTACCAATTAAAAATCGCCATTTATATGTGCCAGCAGAGCAGCTGTCAGAGACTACTTCACTAAGAAAGGAAAGATTCCATGAGCTGGCTGTTCCAAATCAAAGCAACATTTATTCAACACTACATGCCAGGCAAACAGAGACTGAGAGTTCAATATTACCATAGAACACCCAAGAAAGGAGACACAAAGGAAGAATGTTTCACAATGATAAAAGGCAGTACAGGAAAGCTATGGGCCAATGGCCAAAATCAGCTCGCCACCTGTTCTTGCTCACTCCATCCATGAACTAGAATGTGGTTTTCACAATTTTAAATGATTGACTCAAAAAGAAAATCACATAACATGCAGAGTATAAAATTCATACTTCAGTGTCTATAAATAAAGTTTTATTGGATCACGTCAACTTCATTTGTTTGCAATATTGTATACAGCTACTTTCACACTAGAATGGCAGAGTTGGACGACTGTGACAGAGACCATATGGCTGATAAAGCCTAAAATATTTACTACCTAGCCCTTTGCAGAAGAAGCTTGCCAAGCCCTGATATAAAGCACTATGACAAGAAGGAAAAATCAAAACAAGTTTTATAGTAGTTTAAACAGCAAAAGCTGAGTAAAAATAAATTCCGGACAATTCCAAGTTATTCAAATTGCTCATTTTATATTCAGAAAAACAACACAAGTCTATACCAAAGAGAGTCCCATTTTAAAGGACTGAGGCATGGCAAGTGGTAAAACAAAATAAAACAAAAAAAACATGCCTAGTATGGGGTACTGGTGGCTCACACCTATAGCCTAGCTACTTGGAAGGCTGAGATTGTTAAGATCATAGTTTGAGACAACCTATGCAGAAAATAGTTCATGAGATCTATTTTCAACAAAGAGCTAGACAAGGAGAAGGTGCATGTCCTTCATTGTAGCTACTAGGAAAGCCTAACATATTCGACTGTGTCCAGGTACATGTTCAAGCAGGAAGCTAGAGCCCATTTCAACATAGTGGGCAAAAATAAGGGCTAGAGGCATGGCTCAGTCGTAAGAGTGCAAGGACCAACGCTAAAACCCATATGAATGACAATACAACAAACAAAAGCTAAGAGTTTTAATATAAGAAGTATCTCAAAGTGTGGTCTTGAGACTAGAGGAGACTAGAAGAGTTTATACAACAAAAAAAAAAATCACATTTCTCATGGGATACTGAAGTAAACATAAAAACCATGGAAATGTTCCCACCACTTGGTTCAATGTTACACAGGTAATCTGTGATCTAGTTCCTGTTTTATTAGCTAAGTATCCACTCTAAGAAAGTGGATCTAAGTGTCTAGGTCAGAACCCCTGTCCTCAGAGGTTATCATAGTTAAGTATCACTTCTTAAATTCATACTGAACTGAAATCACATTTGACAAAGTATTCTGGCAAACAGCCTCAGATGGTGTAGCCAAGAATGACTGTACACTTCAAAAAAACTTAAAGACACTGCGAATATTCTCATTGTATTGATTTTGTAATAATTGGCACAGGCTAAACATTCTCTGCACTAAGAACATGCATGTGTCCCCAGACCTAGGGTCTTTCCCTAGGCCTGTTTTTATAAATGCTGGTGATAAACCTGGTCTAATTTACCATATAATCATTTTATATGAGCATATAATGGTTCGGATTCTAAGTTATCTTTGACCTTAAGAAAAATGCTAGGTAGTCGGTGCTAATGTGGAGACTTGTTTAAAGAATATAGCCAATGTAAGGAAATCTGTGATTAGCTTGTTAGCATTAGATGAATTGTAAAATTGCCGTTTTTATTTTCTAGAAAAGAAAAATTCTCAGTTTCGAATTTGAAGACACACTAAATGAAAAACACCTTGAACTTGGTGATATTCTACAAGTCACTCATCTACAAATAAAAATGATACTATTTTATCTGCATTGTTTCAATGAGATGTTTGACAACCACCATTTGAATAGGAATAGTCCCCTTTGAAAACTCACAAATTTAAATCCTCATTCTTAGGCTGAGGAACCAAGCACGGTGGGGATGCAGAAGCAGGAGAATCTTGAGTTTTGAGGATAGCTTCAACTACACAGAGCTCCAAGGCCACCAGTGAGACTCTGCTCCCTCCTTCTAAAAAACAGGGGCTGACTTAATAGCTTCACTTAGTAGTAGAGTACATGCTTAACATGCACAAAGACCGAGGTTCGATTCCCAGCACTGTAACAACCTAACTGTGGTGTTTAGAGGGAAAACCATTGATGGAGGACTAGGATTAAATAAAATCAAAGGTAGAGCCCCCATGACTACTGGTGGCTTTATAAAAGGAGGAAAAACAAGGATATGGATCGATGGGCATATGTACATACACACACACACACACACACACACACACACACACACACACTAACATACAAGAACACTTGACAATGGCCATCTTATGGCCTGTTGTAGGCTCAGGACTCAGGCAAACAAGGCGAGCACATTTTGAGGTCTCTACCTTAGTCCACAATGGTGAGCCAAAGCCTCTTTTCTTTTGAACTTGCCCAGTCTGTAGTACTGTGTTAAGCCACAGAAAATGACCTAAGTAGATCTTCTGACAAGTAACTCAATAAATGTTAAGGAAACACAGGTTGTTCTTCCCTTCCTTCCCAACTCTCTACCTCCTTCCTACTGGGCTGTAAGGAAATTGAGAAGCCACCTTTATTTATCCTCATCTCACAAGTGAGAAACCACAGCATAGTAAGATGATATATCAGGGCCCAGTGCACTCTCCAATAAACTCCAAACACTTAATATGCAATAAGAACCATGAGCTAGTAATGATGCCCTACATAAGTGAGCACAAGCAATCCATGCCTCAGCCCCTGAACTCAAGCTCCTGGAAGCAAGACTGTCTCCAAGACAATGGTCCCTGACAGAGCCCAGCCCTTCTAATCAGACACTGAGCACTGATCTCATGGATTCAAAAATCAAGACCTGCTACTCAGAAAACTCAGAAGAACTCAGAAAGGAACTAGCATATAGAACTGACAGGTAGAGCCAGTGTCATTTCAGAAAAATCAATTCCATTGCCAACAAAAAAAATCAGACTGGGCAAAAGTCCATACCTTACTGAAGTATTAACCAAAACTAAATGGACTCAAAAGTGTAAAAGGATTATCAGAGAGAACTTTGAACCCTCTACCAAAGGGGACTCAGAGTTTTAAAGGTACAGGAAAATTACTGCAGTGATTAGGGCTCTTAATCCTCTGTGCTCATGAAAAAACAAAAATTGTATTAAGTGTCATCATCTACAAAAACAAAGTGGTTAGCCGGGCACTGGTGGCTCACGCCTGTAATCCTAGCTACTCAGGAGGCTGAGATCTGAGGATCGCGGTTCAAAGCCAGCCCGGGCAGGAGAGACTGTGAGACTCCTATCTCCAATAAATCACCAGAAAACCGGAAGTGGTGCTGTAGCTCAAGTAGTAGAGCGCTCGCCTTGAGCTGAAGAGCTGAGGGACAGCGCCCAGGCCCAGGGTTCAAGCCCCACGACCGACCAAAAAAAAAAAAAAAACAGTGGTTAAAAAAAAAAAGAGGAAGGTGGCTCAATGGTAGAGTGCTAGTGCTTGCCTCGCATGCATGAGGCCCTGGGTTCAATTCTTCAGCCAGAAGTGGGCGCTGTAGTTCAAGTGGTAGAGCATTCGCCTTGAGCAGAAGAGTTCAGGTGCAGCACCCAGGCCCAGAGTTCAAGCTCCACAACTGAATAAAAAAAAAGACTAGTGCACAACTGGAGCTGGTAGTTCATGTCTGTTCATATATAGGTTAAGATCTGATAATTGTGGTTTGGAGCTAGCCTGGGCAAACAAACTCTTATCTCTAATTAACCAGCAAAAGCCAGAAGTGGATTTATGATTCAAATGGCAGAAAAAAATGGCCATGAGCAGAAAAAAACAAGTGAGAGTGTGTAGGCTCCGAGTTCAAGCCATGGTACCCACTTATACACACATAAACACACAAATCTACTTATGATTTTTTTGAACAATGACAGTATCAAGTCTAAGTGTGCTGTATATTATTACATGATCCATATAACACCAAGATTTAATTCTGAACACCAAGATTTAATTGGAAATTTAGGTCTAACAGTGCTTCATAGGAAAAAGGAATCAAATGCATACTATAGGGGTAAAGAAACTTAATAATGGGAGGGGAGGAGGTTTATTTTTAAAAAGCAAAGCAAAACACTAAATAAACCACAGAAAAAGTGAACAAAGCAGGGGCTATAGCTCGGCAGAACCCATGTACAAGTCCCTGGATTCAATTTTCACACTGCCTAAACAAAAATAAAAACTCACCTACCAAAAAAATGCCAGGCATCAGTGGCTTACACCTGTAATCCTGGTTATTCAGAAGGCCAAGATCTAGAGGTTGATGGTTCAAGATCAGCTCAGGCAGTAAAGTCCATGAGATTCCATCTCCAAAATAACCAGCACAGGGCTGGGAAGGTGGCTCAGTGGTAGAGCGCTTGCCTTGTATGCATGAGGCCCTGGGTTTGATTCCTCAGCACCACATAAGCAAAAAGAAAAAAGCAGGAAGTGGTGCTGTGGCTCAAGTGGTAGAGCGCTAGCCTTGAGCTGAAGAGCTGAGGGACAACGCACAGGCCCAGAGTTCAGTCCCCACGACTGGACCCAAAATAAATAAATAAATAAAATAAAATAAAAAATAAATACAAAATAACCCGCAGAAAGCAGGGCTAGAGAAATGCCTATGAAATAGAGCACTAGGCTAACAAGCTAAGGGCCCTGAATTTAAAAATTCAGTAAGGCGGGGAGAGGGGTGGGGGGCATTAAAGTTCAATTACAGACAGACAGCAAAAGCAAACAGCATTTGAAGGGGAACAGAACTTGGAGGAGGAAAATAAACCCAGCTGAAGCTTTCCAAGAAGTTTAAGAAGTTGGGAACGTTTCCAAGAAAAAAGCCTAGAATCAAAGGTTCCCCCAGGTCCACATTAAAAAACAAAAAACAACAACAACAACAAAAAACCCACAAAGAGTAGTTTTCAGCCAGGATTCAAGGCAGTCTTTAAGAGTGCACCTTTTCCACAGCCAATTCACCATATGCCACCCACACGGTGAAATAAAGCCCTTGCTGGGACACAGCTTAGTAGTATACAGCTAGTAAGGACAAGTTTATTATCATGCCCGAGGGCTCAATCCCCAGCATCAACAAAAAGGAAACATTACTTTAAAAAGCCCTAACTCTTTTCACTGTGGTAAGACTAGCTGGTGCTGGTGAAGCCAGGGGACACTATAAAATAACTTATTATATACAATATTTATTAATCCCAGTGCAGTGGCTCATATCTATGTTCTCAGCTACTTGGGAGGCTCAGATAAGAGTACCACTGTTCAAGGTCAGCTAGGAGAAACTAGTAAGCAAGACCTTATCTCAACAAACCAACCAGACAAGGTGGTACATCTCTGTAATTTCAGCTATGCAGGAAGTATAGATAGGATTATGATCTGAGGCTGGACCAGGTAAAAAGTGTACAACCCTATTTGAAAATTACTAAAGCAAAAAAGGGATAGAGGTACGACCAAGGTCAAGCCCCTGCCTAGCAAAGCACAAGGCCTGAGCATAATCCCCAGTACCACCTAATATAGACAAACAGACAGACACACAGACAGACAGACACACAGACAGAGAGGTTAAACTGACTCATTATTAGAGAATATAAGCTAATGTTCCATTGGTGAAACCTGGACTGCCACTATGTTAAAAGTACTTAGTTATCAGAATTAATAGCACTGTGTCTCACTACCATGCTGCACTGAGAATGTATTATCACTTATGGTGTCCTGTCAAAAATGTCTCTCACTCTCTGCGACACACAGGGTTCGAAGCCAGCCTAAGCAGGAAAGTCTGTGAGACTTTTATCTCCAATTAACTACCAAAAAGCTAGAAGTGAAGCTGTGGCTCAAGTGGTAGAGCACTAGCCTTGAGCAAAAAAAAAAACTCAGGGATACCAACCAGGCCAAGTTTAAGCCCCAGTACACACATACACACATACATATGTACACACACGTGTACACACACACACACACACACACACACACACACACACACAAAGTCCCAGTCTCTTCATGAGGAAGCAAGACAAATAATACTGTGCATTGTGCTACAAAATAACTGATAAGTAACTTTTGGAAAATGTCAGGGTCATCAAGGAACAAATCGAGAATTATTCCTATGAAAACCAAGGATTACCCTGGACTGGATCCCATACCTTGAAGAACACTGTTGCTAAAGTACCTGGCAAAATCTTGAAAGGGAGTCTGAGTTAGATGGCAGCCCCTGTACATGTATTCCTTTTTTTTACCTTCATGGTTTTATTGTGATCATGTGGAAAAATATCCTTGATTTTCAAGGTAATTCTTTAATTCTTGAAGGGTAGTGGACTATATCTAAAAATCACATGCAAATAGTTCTGGGCAAACATAAAACAGATTCCTCATTTCTGAAATTTTGTACTTGTGGATTGCCTACTCACACAGTCTAATGCCATGCACAGTGTACATCTTGTGACTGTACCTTAAAGAGAAATTTCAGGTGTTCCTATGTTAAATAACTTTCATTCAAGC